TGTGCTAATTGAGCTTTTATTGGATAAACACGTTCAAATAAATTTTGACGTAATGTTGTAAATCGTTCAATTTTTTTACTAATACGATTTCTAACATAACGTGGTTTATCTGATGCATTAACAATTACAAATGGAACATATTCTTGTTGAAAAACTTTCTAAGAACAAAAAAAAAAAAAGTAAAATAATAATTTTTATATTATTTTTCTTTTTGCATTTAAAATTAATTATTAACATACTTTAACACCTTCGACTTTTTCTTTTGCATCATTAACTTGTTGTTCAATCATTTCACCAATACGACCTTTTGCTGTATCAGCATCTTCATCTTCTTGTGTTATATCACCTTCTTCTTCTTCAATCTAAAAATAATGAAGAATGAATATATATATTCAATTTTTGAATTATATTTTTCATATACTTGAAATTCACTAGCTAGAGTATTTTCAATTTCATCATCTTCGACTGTTTCACCCTAAAAAAAAATATTGATTCATTGTATCATTTTATTCGATGATCTTTTTATACCGCTTCAATACGTTTTTCTCGTTCAAGAATTAATTCAGCTCGTCGTTCATCCATAGCTTTTTTCTATTAAAATAGAAATTTTATAACGTTTTTTTATTTTTATTTTTTTTGCAAACTTTATCTCGATCTTTTTTTGCTTTATTTTTCATTCGTTTTTCTTTTCTTAATTGTATTTTTGTTTTCCATTGTTCCATACGTTTTGGTAAAATTCTTTTTAATATATCTTTACTTTCAACATCAAGTTGTATAATAATATCAGGTAATAATTGATTATCAATCATATAAACAGTTTCATCTTCTGTTGATGGAAAACCTTCAAGAACAATACCACGTGAACGAAATGGTTCTTCTATCCACCATGGTTTAATTATTTTATCAAGAATTTCAGGTGCTAAAGGTTCACCATCTTGTAAATATGCTTTAATATTTTCTTCTTCAGCTGTTAATTCTTCAGTCTAAGAAAAATAATAGAAAATAAAAATATATATGAAATATTATTTTACTTCATCAATTGGTTTTTCTGCTTTTTGTTCTTCTTCTTCTCTAAAAATTTAAAAAGGAACATTTGTTTTTTCGTGTTTTTAAATTCTTACGGATCAGGTTCATCACGTATTTCATTATATTCTGGTCCAATTTTTATTTTTGTTTTACCAATAATTAATTCTTGTAAACGATCACGAAATTTTATATGAAATGTATTATATTTCATAGCTAATTCACGTCCATGTAAACTTTTACCAGCACCTTCAGCTCCAATAAGAACTATACGCATAGCAGGTAACTAATTAAAATAAATATTATTTTTTTTTACAAATCAATATATTTACATTCATTTTCTTGAATTAATCTATCTGAACAGTTCAGTTTTTTTCGGAGGATGACACTTCCGAATATAGAAAAAAAACTTTAATATCGTTTTTCAAAACAGAATAAAATTATTTTAGATAGATTAATTCTAGAAAACAGTTTTTTTTATGGTTTTTTAAATATTAAAAAAAAAAAATCTATAAATAATTACTGTTGGTGATTTATTAATAGGTAAATATTTAAGTGGTGTTTGTAAGAATAAATTTCGATTATCTTCATTAGTAAAACGATATGTTTTAGATTTATATGAAAGTGTAAAATCTGGTTTTCCAGGTACAAGAATATTTTTATCGAATAATGTTACTGGATCATAGATATTTGTATCACCAAGATGTTTTTTTCTATCACTTTTAAATAAATCTACAATTTCTTCTTCTTCTTCTTCATTATCATCAATTTCTTCATCTTCATTTCCTGTTTCTTCTTCTTCATCAATATCTTCTTCATTACTTTCATGTTCAAGTACAATATATTTAAATTGTTCTAGAAAAAAAAAAGGAAATTTTTACATAAAAACAAAAAAAAATTTCTATAGAATATCTATACTTTCAAGTGCATCATAAGCTTCTTGAAATAATTCTTCATTTGTTTTTAATTTTTCACCATCTTCTTTCATTAATTCAATATAAATTGGTTCAAGATTATAAATACTTGTTATAGTTTTCATTAAATCATTTATACGTGTTATATCACTACGAGCTTGTTGAATAAATGTTTCTTGTTCAATACCAACAGGTGGTAATATTTCTTGTTCAAATAGTATTGGTGATATAGATGGTGGAGCACGACTTAAATCAAGACCTGAAGCAACTATTTATTTTAATAGAATATAAGAACAAAAAAAAACAATGATCTTAATAATACATACTACTTGATTTATCTTTGTCAGGTTCTTTACTCATTGATTCATCCTCTTTAAAAAAAAAGGAAAACATATTGTATATATGATATAAAATGTTTATTTTCAAATAATAGACAAGAAAAATATTTTAATCCTTAGCTTTTAAAAAAAAATACAATGAGGGATCAAAAAAAGTATGTACATTTTTGTTTTTATGTAAGGATACTCTGAAAATTTTCTCTCATATCAGACTTTGTAGAGCTTTTTTCGCTGATCATTTTAGTAAAAAAAAAGTTTTTTAATTTTCATTGAGTAATGATGATGTTATAGTCAAAATACTAAACACTGTAATACATACTATATCTAATTACAACTGAACATACTAAATTCGTTGCTTTCCAAATAGTAATTATAGAGTTTTGTTCAGTTTTTTATGCTCTTTCATATGAAAGAGTTGGAATTTAAAAAAATTTTTATTAATTAATTAACTGTAATATAAGTATAAGTACTTGTTACCAAAATGTAGCGCATCAAATTCTGCGTACATCTTTCAGATGTTGTGAAATAACGTAAAAATTAGCCAAATATTAAAAGTGTGCTAAAATTTTTTCCCTACTTTATATTACAGTGTTTAGTATTTTGACTATAACATCGTCATTACTCAATGAAAATCAAAAAACTTTTTTTTACCAAAATGATCAGCGAAAAAAGCTCTACAAAGTCTGATATGAGAGAAAATTTTCAGAGTATCCTTACGTAGAAACAAAAGTGTACATGCTTTTTTGAGTCATCATATTGTATGAAGCCGACAAAAAAAAAAATAAAACTTATCATTTCTGATCCATTTGTAATGAATGAATAAAGAAAATTACCTTCTGGTATTGTTTCAGGAATTTTATCAATAAAATCTTCTTTTTTTGGTTCATAATTTCTATCTTCAAGTATAGCTTGTTCCATTCCTATATAAATATAAATTATAAAAAAAAAATCTTAATTTAATAAAGAAAACCTTTTTCATCTGTTTCATCTTCATCATCAATTGATTCACCAGCTTCAATTTTTCTTTGTCGTTCAGCTAAACGTTCATTACGTTCTTGTTCAGCAATTATTTTCATTTCTTCCATTCGTCGTCTATGAATATTAAAATAAAATAAAAATTATTCATTTTTCTTATTATACTTTTGTTCTTCATCTTGAATTCGTCTTTCATTTGCTTCATGTTCTTCACGTTCACGAATATCTTTATCAATTTCTAATCGATTTGTTTTATACCAACGTTTTTGTAATGCTTCTAATTGTGCATGACTATCTTGTAAAACAAGAACATCATCTGGATGAATATTTTTTTCATTTAATAATGTCCAAATTTCATTATCATATGGAAAATTAACAAATATCCAATTACCAAATCTTAAAAGAATTCAATAAAAAAAAATAAAAGAAAACAAATAAATTCAAAATTTATTTTACAATTGTCCATTAGGATTTTTTTCTCGTTGTTCTTGTTCAATATTTTGTATAGCTTTATGCATTAATTCAGCATAAACATCAGATGGTATATTAACAGTTGCATTACGTGCTTCTTCAATTGCTTGTTCAACAGCTTTTTTTACTTCAGGATGATCAGCTGTTATTTCTCCAATTGGTTCAACTTGTATTTTTTCATCTTCAGGACCTAAACCACGAAGATCTTCTTGAGGTACTTCAGTAGGCCGTGGTGAAGTCATAGTTGGCTGTGGTGACGAGCGTTCAGTTGTTTGTGGCGATGAACGTTCAGCAGCAGGTGGTGGTGATGTACGTTCAGCGGGTGGTGGTGACTGAGGTTGGGCTGATGTTGGCCGTTGTTGTTCTTCTTCATCAGGATTTGGAACTTTTTCTGTTTGTTCGAAATCATTTGGATCAGTGGTTGTTTCATTATCTTCTCGGGTTGTTGGTTCTAGTTCTTCATCTATTTTAGCATCAGTTTTTGATGTTGTTGCTTCTTCTGTTAATTTTTCTACAATAATAATAATAATAATAATATATGATACTACAAAAGTAAATCAAACAGATGCTATCGATACTTCTTTTAAATCTAGTTTTCATCGAAAGAGAGAAATAAGTATCGAAAACATTTTGTTCGAGTATTTTTCTTAAAGATTTATTCAAACCTGCAGCTTCTGTTTCAAGTTGTAATTGTAATTTTTCAATAGTTGATCGTTGAACTTCATTTTTAATATTGTCAATATATTGTTGACGAAGTTCATCCATTTTTGGTTGAGCATATGATATCATATCAATAACCTTTAGTTTGATTTTGTTTTTTTTTAAATATTTATTTAGTTTTTTTTATTTACTTACTGTTGCATTATATTTTTTAGCAATATCTTGTGCTAATTGTTCAATACCAGAAGATCGAGGACCATAGAGAAAAAGTTTACATGGTGCTCGTGGTTGAATTATATATCGACGAGGATTTTTTTGAAATTCTTTTAATGATTCTTTACTTGAAAGAACAAATATTTTATCCATAAAACTATAAAGAAATACTTTTTATTTTTGTGTATGTAAATATATTTATATAAGATAAACATACTGAACAGCTAAATCTTGTCGACCAGGTATACGATTTCCTTGTTTAAGAGCAACTGGATCAAGACGTAACCATCGACTTCTTTGCCATTTATATTTATTTGATAGAACATTTGAACTTGTTAATGAAAGCATTAATTCTTCAGTTTCCATTTCATCAGCTGGTGCAGATTCTTCAGCACGTGGTGGATCATTACGAATAGCTTTTTCACCTTCTTCTTCTTCATTATCTAATAGAAGAAAAGATTTTTTTTTATTTATTTTAAATTTTTTTTTTTTTAAATATACCCATTTCATTTGTTTCTTGTGGAATTTCTTCTTCTTCTTCTTCAGGTGGAAAAAAACGTTGAACAATTGTTGCACGTCTTAATGCATATGCATTAAGACGTTCAAGTAATTGTTCAAATAGAATTGTTGGTGATATATTTCCATCAAGTTCAACTAAATATGCTTGTGGTAAACTAGCCATATATTCTTCAAGCATTCTTAATAATTGATCTTTATAAAGTTGAATACTATCAGAAACATCAGGCATTAAATCTTCAGGTCGTGTTACTAATCGTTCAACAATTTCTGTTGGTACAGGTGAAAAAAATTCATCCTAGATATATTTAATATATCATTTCAAGTTTGTTTATTTTTATTGAATACATACAGTTATTTGTTCTTCTTCTTCTGTTTCTTCTTCATCATTATCAGCATCTTCATCAATATCACTAACTTCATCATCATCTGTCTGTTGTTTACCAGTCTAAAGAAATCAATTTTTACGTTTTTCTAATTTTTCTTCAAAACCAAATTAAAATAATAGTGAAGAAATTTATCCCAAAATAGATAGAATAAAATAATTTTCCAGTAGTTTTTTTTTTTTGTATATTTTCGAAGACTTACTACTTTTTCGATGGGTGTAGGTGCATATTGTTGTTTAATATATAATGTACCAGTCATAGGATCGATTTTTTCTTCTTGTCGTCTATTAATTAAATCATTATCAGGTATACGAATATTAATAACATAATCTGGAGGTAATGGCCAATTTTTCATAGTTTCCATTTGATCACGTAATTTCATTAAATTTTCATCCATTAATGGAAATCCATCCAAAATATAACCTTGATAAAACAAAAAACAAAAGAATTTTTTTTTTGTTTAATTATCTTTATACAAACCATGATGTGCTACTTCAGGTGAATGCATTTTTATATATAACATTCGTGCAATCATTTGATCTGGAACAGCTTCACCATGTACAAGTAATTCACGTGCATGCATACCAATTTCAGTTTTTTGTTTTATATTTGTTATTATAAGATCAGGAACTAAAACAAAAAACAACAAAGAAAAATATTATTATGAAATAAATAAATAAATATAATTAACTATTAATAATTTCAGCATGCCAATCATCAGCTAATTTTTTTGCTAAAGTTGTTTTACCAACACCTGGTTTACCAACAATAAGAAAACATGTTGGTTTAGATTCAAGAAATTTTCTATCTGCCTATAATACAAACAAACAAAAAAAAAAATTATAATAATTGAAAAAGTATTAGAAAATCTTCTTATTCATTCTGAAATACAAAAAAAAAATATTTTCAGTATAAACGTGAGAACAATATGTCGTAAAGATTTTATAATCTCAGCTTTATAGATACGTTATGTGTAAATGTAACCAGGACGATACGAACTTTTCAGTTTATATCAATACAAAATAGTTTAATTAAAGCCTTTTGATTTATCTTCAACATCATCAAATAGGAACATATAGAATTTCATTTAATTTGATTTCTTTAACATGTTGACAATACCTTATTGTCGTACGACAGAATCTGATACTAACAATTCAAAGATAAAAGTCTAGATCATAAATTCTTACTTCATCTACATCATAAGAATCATCTTCAAAAGGTGTTAATTGTTGATTTTTATCAGTAGTTTCCTTGTTAGATTTTGATATATTCTAAAAAAGAAAAAAAACATAAAATATTTAAGTTTTCAATATAACATTTCGATTATCATATACTAACATTAATTTCATATTTAGGTGGGTCACCATATTGAAATGAAGATTCTTGACGATTAGAAAAATTCTGTAAACTATTCCGAGGATCACTAATAGCCGATTCTTGATAATCGGTCATAGTAAACGATAAGGCACTTTTAATAATACACAAAATAAAATACTACAAAAAAAAAAATCAAAGCAAACATCCGTAACCATCTTCTATTCTATCAATTGCTTAGAAACAACCTTTTTTTTTGTACATTTGTATAGATGTCGTTTTATTTTTTTGAAATTTTCGAACGAATATAAATTTCTAACTTTTTTTATTTATTAAAAAAACAAAATAATATTTTTAAATTAATTTCCAGAAAAAAAAATTCTTCAATCAAAATTCTATAAAGCGTTCTTTGTCATTTGATTATGGCTATTCCATCAACAAATATAACAACACAACAATAAACAATACATATATTCAAAAAAAAAGGATTTCATTTTTTTTTGTCAAAGAAAAAAAAAATGTTTTTTTATTCTTTTGTTTTATTTTATTTGTTTGTATATGTTCATTAAATATATATATATATATATATATAGTACGTTTCATTTCATTATTTTGCGGTTTTGTTTTCATTTAAAATAATGACAACAACAACTGAAACTTATCATACAACATTTACAAATTCAACAATCAATAATAATGATGATCCATCATTAATTGTTGCTAATGTTACAATTGATGAATTAGTTGAATCATGTTGTAATGAAGTATTACCATCATCATCTAGTCAATTAAATAGCAGTAGTAATAGTGTTTCACCAACACATCTTGTTCGTTTTGTTCATTCACAATCATCACTTGTTAGTCAGATAGATGAAACAAATAATATTCAACAAAATCCATCAAATATAATTATATCTAGTCATGATATACCATCTATTAAACAAACACCATATATTAATGTTATTAAACGTTTACCATCAACAATAAAACCAAAAACAATAATTGAATCAACAAATTCAATGTATAATACAACAAATTTAACAAATATAACAGCTAATAATATAAGTGTTAATAATTATAATGTTAATATTCATACAACAAATGTTCCACAACAACAACAACAATCAATAATAAATAATGAACATTTAATTAAAAAATCAAATTCATATGATGAAAAACAAACAACTGAAATTGTAACACAAATATTAAAAAATATTAAAGAAGTTGATGAACAAACAACAACAACAACAAATTATAATATACATATTGATTCATTTAATTTTTCATCATCCATAAATGAACAACAATCACTTATAAATAAAAAATCACGTATTAAAAAAGAAGCTAAAGCTTTAACAAAAATTATTGTTAAAGATGATTTAATACAATCACCTATATCACCAAATTTTTTACGTACAAAAAAAACAATAAAACATCATCAATATGATAATACAAATATATTAATAGAATCTATACCGGTACCATATGGATGGCAAAGAAGAATATTATCTACAGATATTGTTGTTTATTTAAGGTAGTAGAAATTAGTTTTTTTTTTTCTATTAAATAATATACTAATAATAAAATTTGAGAATTTCTTCTTAGATGTTTTTTGTTTTGTTGCCTATAGGTACTTTAAATAGGTGTCGGCATTTTTTGAATAACTTTTTAATCGACTAATGTTTATCGAACTCTAAGGCGTTTTTTTTTACATGACTGTTTGTATACCGAATTCTATAAATTGACCTTGAACTATATCAACATATAGCTTGGTTCATCTTGTATATAATGTAAAATAATCTCGTTGAAAAAAAAAGCAAGGTATCACAGAGACATGGAAGTTTAACTATATGTAATCAGACAACAATATGATATAATTTGAGGTTAGTGAAAGTAGAAAACGAAAAACAGATCGAACTTAGAACTCAATAATCATTCAAAAAACAAAATGCAAACATCTGAAATCGTACAATAATATCACGTTAGAGATATGTATATAGTCTAAGAAAAATTTTCTAACTCGTATATAATTATTTGATTTGCATTGTAATAAGTGAATAATTCTAATTTAGTGAGCTTCATTTTGTATGATTTAGATATTTAATATTATTTTGAATTTTTCTTTTTGTTTTTTAGTCCAACTAATACAATACTCGATTCATTAGATGCTGTACGTCATTATATTGAATCACCAACATCATGTAAATGTGGTCTTCAATGTCCACTTATTATTGATAAGGTTGTTTTTAATACAAAGAAAAATGTCTATAGAAATTAAAGTGATAATTTTGTTTCTATGTTTAGGTATTTAATTTTGATCCAATGAAAAAATCAAAATCTTGGGAAGTTGTACAAGTTCTTGAAGGTACACATTGTCGACAAAAATCAAATATATTAGAAATGGCAACATTAACAAATTGTATTGATTCATTTTGTGAAACTGAACAAAAACCAGGTTAATATATATATTGAATTTTTTGTTTTATTGTAATATTTAAATTTTTCTTATAGTTAAACGTCGAAAACGTATATATAATGAATCAACAAATGGAAATGTATTTGTATGTGCTTCAAATTTAATTGGAAATAGTAATAATAATAATAATAATGAATCAGTTGTTTTTGTTAATAATACCGATCAAATATCTGGTATAGAAAATAGTCAATCGATGACATGGACACCAATACAACAAACAAATATAACTCCACCATCGAAACGACCACGTGGTCGTCCACGTAAAACTACAGTAACATCACCAATAATTACACATCTTGCTGCTAAACCATCAAATGATACATATCAAACACAACCTGTACCATCATCAATACTTTCTCCACCAGCATCTGTTTCATCAATATCACAAACAAATTTTGTTCATAGAAATTCAACATCACCATCAACAATATTTCATCAAACAAATAATATACGTCATATTAGTGATAATATATTAACTCCACCAATTTTATCATCTTCAACAACAACAGATACAAATGTTATTGCACGTGTTCCATCAATATTTGATCAAGTTAAAACAGCTACAAATGAATCAACATTTGCTGTATTATCAGGTGTACAAAATGTTTTATTATCACCTAATCGTGATTCAAATAATAATGATAAACGTTTACATGTTGATTCTAATTCATCAATTGTATCTACAACAGGCAAACAGGTATAAGAAAAAATTTCGAATTTAGAACACTTAACAGTTACATAGGATCCTATAGCAAACAACTGTCCGGATCCTAGAATTTCATATAAAAAACAAAAGTCTTCATCAATAAAAAAAAAGTCATCCAAATTTTTAGTTATTTGTCATGGTTACTCTAGGAAAAGTAATTTGAAATTTGGCAAGGAGACAGATTTTAATAAGATATGTTGTAGATGTAAAATAGACAATAACAAAATAAGGAATCACTGCATTTCGTATGAACTTTCCTTGCGGACTTTTAGAACATCCTGTAGATAACGAAAAAAAGTGATTTTGATGAAAAATTTATGTTTTTCTGTTAAGGTAACTTTAAATGTTAATGCTCTAAAATCAGATTTTGTTCGTTCAACATCTTCTAATTCAAAATCATCATTAACAAATCAAATTGATGTTATTTCATTAATGGGTACAACAAATCAAAATCAATTAACAATTCCAAAAACATCAACTATTGTTACTATACCATCAACAACACATGATGAATATATATCAATAAAATCTACAAATGAACAAATTAATGAATCAACACAACCATTAATGATTGATTTTAATGATCCATCAACAACAAATTTTCTTTTATCAGCACTTGCATCAGGTGCATCATCAGATTCAAATGCAATTGTTAATCATCTTTTTCAAAAAGCTCAAACACAACAACAACAACAATCAACAACAACAATAAATTCTCCAACAATATCAATTCAAAAAAAAACTTTACCAATTATTTCATCAAATATAAAAAATTGTACAGAAACAACAAATTTATTACCATCAATACGTCAATCAACAGTTGTATTACATGTACCAACAACAAATGATATTAATCAACAAACACAACAAATTATATTGAATAATAATAATGATGATAAAAAACAACAACAACATCAACAAATATTTTTTATTAATAATAAACCATATATAATTCAACAAAAATTAACTCATGAACAATCATCACAACAACGATTAATTCTTACACCATCAATATCACAATCGAATGGTTCGTTTTAAATTGTTTTTCTAAAGATAATCTTTTATTTTTATTTTTTTTGAACTATTTCATACAATCGATTTTCTTGTAAACATTTAAATATTCTGAAAGTTTTAGTCTAAAAGAAATATATTCTTCTTAAAATATTAAAATAATCATATACCATAAGACAAAATAAGAAATCCTAATATTTTCCAACATTCGATATATCAATGACAAAAAAAAAAAAACATAAAATCAGTAAACTTATAACAAATAGCAAGTTTTAATAAGTTTTTATTAGTCTCGTTAGAGTATATATATATATTTGATTGGCGTGTAAAATATTAAATTTTAACTTTCTATTCTTTGTTTTTTTAAAGAAACATCTCATTCAAATCGAAATATTGTTAATATTAATAATAGTAATACATGTATTCAATCAACACTTGATGATGGTGGTAATTGTCTTTTATTAAATGGACCTGTTGAACCTAAAACACTTCGTACATTACTTAAAGGTTTAAATTCATCATCATTTTCTGGTGTTGATAATTTAATTGATACAATAAATCGTTTTGAACATAAAACAACAACAAATGAAAAAAATGATAATCTTTTAATAAAATCAATTCGTACAACAAAAAAATCAATTGATACAAATAAAACACCAATAAAACGTCGTACAGCTAAAAAAATTAAACAAGAAGAACAAATTTCAATATCACAACCAATTATTGTTGAACAACAACAACAACATCAATGGCAAACAGATTTTAATACATTTGATTTTTCAACATCATGGGGAAGTGATACAAATCTTAATTCACTTTTACTTAATGATGATTTTGATACAGCTGCTTCATTTGATGATGTTAATTTTGGTGATTTTGAACCGTATATGAATGGTAATAATAATAATGATATAATATTACCATCATTATTTGTTAAACCATTACCACCAGATAGTTTATCAAATCTTGATCATTTATTACCTTAGAAAAAACTTTATTTATTTATTTTTTTGCATATTGTGATATTCTATTATCTAAACATACATACTTTTGTCATCTCAGGATGCTTGAGTTTATATGTATATAAAAAAATATGCGTTTCTTTTTGCTGTAGTTATGTAGCTTAAAATAAAAAAGAAATTTTTTTTTTTTTTGTTGATCTGAAACTTATATATTGGTGTGTATGAAATCTTATACTTCTTTGTTGTGTCTTTTTTTGCCTCTAGTCTCTTGCTCGAGTGCGCGCGCGCGCGCGCGCGCTTTATTTATATATTTTTTGTTGTTGTTGTTGTTTGTACAGTGTTTTGCAATATCATACACATCGAAAAAATTCAATGTATGTTTGTGCCTTTGTCTCCACTTTGAATGATATTTTGTGTTTCAATTATTATGATTATTAATTGTTTTTTCTCTCTTTTTTGTGTGTGCCGTGTTGTTACAAAAAAAAAAATTTTTTGTTTTTTTGCGATGATCTGTTTTGTTTCTTTTTTTTTTTGTATTTGCACAGACAAATGATTGACTCATTTTTTGATTTGTGTGTATTTCAATTTATGAAGAATAATGGACTTTTCTTTTTTTTTTGGAAATGTTTTTGGAGATATTCTCGATTTGTTTTGTTTTTTTTTTTGATTTTCTACAGTCGTTTTGAATTCGAATACGACATAAAAAGAAAAACAAAATTTATTGTTTTCTTTTTTTTCTAGCGAAAGAAAAAGTTATTATTATTATTATTGTTGTTGTTTGTTTTGTTTGTTTGTTTATAGCTGAGAATTTTTCTTCGAAGTGATTTCTTGTAAGATATATAATGTGGAGAAAGAAGATTTTATCATGATTTATTTCTTGCATTTTTATTTTATTGTTTATAATTCTAGATGGGTAACGGAATAACAGTTAATAAAAAACAATTACCCGGTGTTCCACAACCACCTGGTGCACGTAAAATAGTTGTTATTCCTTATCAAAATTGGATTCATTATGATGCACGTCGTTTTGGTCATTTTAACCAATTTAGTACTGATATTAGTTGTGAAATATCTTCAAACACAAATAATAATAATAATAATAATTATAATACCATATCATCTGTACTACCATCAAATTCATTTTCATCTCCTTCATCATTTGTATCAACATCATTATCATTAACAAATGATTTTATTATTCAAACTAAAACACAATTAATATCAGCATCTGTTCCATCATCTTTAACATTTTCAACTAATAAAACAAATATACGTAATAATAGTAATAATAATAATAATAACAATAATAATAATTCACCAATATCAACATTAGTTGGTTCAACAATGACTTTATCAAATTCATCATCAACAGTAACATGTTCATCAACAATATCATCAAATGATTATGATTCACGTCGTTTACATCCAAAACCCATTTATTATGTTAATGGACGATTTTTTAAAAGTTTAACACGTCTTGGTGATGCACAATTTATATTAAGTGAACATGGTGAAGATGATATTATATTAACAGTACCATCAAATATTGAACGTTATCGTACAAATGATAATACTGTACGTGATCGTATACATCGTTTAAATCGTGTTATTGCATGTTGTGATGAATTTATTGTCTTTCAATTATGGAAAGGAAATAATGAAGTTGAAATATTTCTATTTGATCGACCTATACCACCAATAGAATTATCAAAAATAAAATCATCTACAAAATGTACATGTTTTCATCGACGAACACGACAATCAAAATCAACATTAATATCACAACAAGAACAAACATCAAATCCAACAAATTCAATACCATCATCATCAATGAATGAATCAATAACACGTATTAATCGACATAGTTCATTAATGCAAACAGCAACATTAAGTGCTTATCATACAAGTGAATCACAACGTTCACCAATTAAATCATGTTCATTATTAAATAATAAAGAAAATCATGATGATATTAAAGATGATACATATGAATTTGTTGATAATACAAAAAAAGCTTCTTATTTAATTGGTTCAGCTCGATGTACATTGGTAACTGCTTCAGCTACTATTGCTGCTAATAATACTAATGCTAATACTAATAATATAGCAATAACATCGACTACGTCGAGAGCCCGATTTGGGAAATCGGCGAGTCGGTGAGTAATTTGATTTATTTTTGTTTTACTGAAATACGATATTCAATGAATATAACATAAAATTTATAAACAAAGATTCATTCAATTCTACAATTTGAATTGAAATGTTGAAAGAAAAATATTAGCTCAAATTCTAATTCGATAATTTATTAATGATTTTATTCGTTAAGGAAAACTATTCAACTAACTAGAAAAATCATAAAAGAGTTCGTGGTCATGGATATCTAAAACCTAAAAATTTTGATCGACAAGAATATTCATTTGTCGAGATATTGAATTTTCAGCAAATAATTTCTGGCTATTGACATACTCCACAAAAATCAAATTGCCTTGAAAATTCAATGTTTGGACAAAAGAGTATTCTTTTGAGTTACAATTCGAGTTGTTCTCTCATAAATAAATATTTAGTAAAATATCAAACTTTCAATTAAGGTTATGTTCATTGAATGAGTAATAGAAAAGTCTCGACTGGTTTGAGTTTTTTTGTTCTTGGAATATTGAAGTTTCATTAAGTTTTTAACTAAAAGCTGTGATCACGTGAAAAAATCGAAACAAAGTTCTTAATGAAATTAGTTACTTGTACAAATTTTAGATTTTCTATTATTTTCTTGTTGGAGATAAACGAAATTTACTTTTGTAATATTTCAAGAACATTATAGATTTTTCTATTCTTCATCATCTCAATCGAAAAGCGATTTCATATTTTGAGAAATTTTCTCGTAAAGCTATGTATTTCTTTTTGATTTTAATGCATTCGCATCTTACAACAGTATGATAGATGATAAACTAACTAACTAACTTTTCTTTATAATGTTTTACTAACAAATTATTTTATTTTATTAAAATAAAAATTCTAATAATTTATTTAGTTCAACTATGTCAAATACACGTTCATATTCAATATCAAATGCTCATGAATTAGTAAATAATAAAAATCAACAAAATTATTTAATTGATAATTCAAAACATCGTTCAACACCCTATCTATCATCATTATCATCATCATCATGTACTTGTACAGATAGTGAAGATTCTATTTCATTATCATCATCATCTTCACCAACATTTTCTTTATCATTATCATCATCAACATGGAATAGTCGTATTGTTCGAAAACTTAATTCTGTTGCACATCGTTTTAATGCACGATCATATACTTGTTTAATATCACCGGATCGAACAAAATTATTAATTACACCTGATTATGAAGATAAACATTCATATAGTCATCAAACACATGAAGTAACTGTTATTTTTGATATTAAAACTTATGTCATACTTCGTATAACACCAGCTCGTAAGTTTTAAAGAAAGAAAAACAAAAATCAAATTTTCTATTATTTATAATTTAGGTTATGATCAACGATTTTCATTTGATCCACGTTATGGTCATTCACGTTTAGCAGAATTTGATACAGTTCGTGGTCAAATAACTGATATTAAAAAAGATCGTGTACTTGTTTGTTCAAATCATACATTAAAAACAAAAGTTTATCGTGTTGAATATACTAATGATGGACATCTTATTATTGTTTTATGCACACGTAAGATATATATATAGAATTCTTAATTGAGATATTATTCCATGCAAAAGCATCAAATTAAATATAATATATATGTAGTGATGACACGATCGGAAACTGTAACATCTTCACAATTCATATCATTAGGATACAAGAATTCATCTCATCGAACATTTCATACGATAGAGCTTAACATATTAAATATAATCAGAAAGTGTTAATCTTAACAAAAACTCTCAACTTAAAAATATATGTGATTAGTAAAGATTGATCAATTTTCAATTCAAAGTTCAGAGCGAGAAACTGTTCGAACAGATTACATCCTATCACAAATCTCTTCAGACAATTAAGTAATAGAATAAAAGTTACATATACTCGGAAATATCTTTCTTAAAAATAGAGCAAAT